TTAAAACGGTTAGCAACTAGCTGTTTGGCTGCAACGTTTCTGCAATGAGCCATAACTCGGGTCTCATCTACCAAGTCTAGCTCCACCACCATTTTCTTATTATTTTCTTCTTCTGTTTGCGATAGTGCTTGAACTCTTCTCCAGGATGGCTCTCCTAGCCTAAAGGTTATTTTGAATGGTTCTATACCCCCAAAGTACATAGCACAACTCCTCTACCCATTTCCCCTTGGCGGATTGCTCAATTATCTTCCTCAATCCTTCTATAATAACTTGATTAGCCGCTTCTGCTTGACTGTTAGTCTGAGGATGCTCTACTGATGCGAATCGATGTCAGATATGAAGGTTTGCCATCAACTCTTGGAAGGCTATGCTTGTGAATTGGGTTCCATTATCGGTGACCACTTCAGTCGGGATTCCAAATCTGCAAATTAAATTCCTTTAAAAGAAACGTTGAATTCTAGCCGAGGTGATTGTTGCAACTGGCTCTTTTTCTATCCACTTTGTAAAGTAATCAACCGCTACTATTAACCACTTTAGCTGGCCTTTTCTAATTTCTGATATCTGAGCTCTGCTCCTTGTAATAGCCAACTTACAAAGTAAATCGGCTGTTGTCCTTCCTTATTTTCTTGTACTAGAACCGAGCTGACAACAACGTCACCCACAGAGAGAAACATTATTAAAGTTTCTTTTTCTCTTGGTTTTCTTAAAACTGGTGGAGAAGCTAATTGCTTCTTTATCTCTTGGAATGCGGCTTTACATTTTGAAGTCCATCCATATTGCACCTCTTTTCTTAATAGCTTGAAAAATGGTAACGCTGTTTCTGCAGATCGAGGTAGGAATCTGGTAAAGGAGGCCAATCTTCCCGTTAGCTGCTACATTTCTTTCTTACTTGTAGGAGCCTTCATATCCAGTATGGCTCTGCACTTATCCGGATTAGCTTCAATACCTATGTGAGTTAGCATAAAACCAAGGAATTTTCCTGCACCAACTCCAAAAGCACATTTCGCTGGACTCAATCGGATGTTGTGTAGCCTTAACTTTTCAAAGGTCTGCTCCAAATCTTCAATATGCGCCCTTGAGTCCAGTGACTTGACTATCATATCATCTATATACACCTCAACATTTCTGCCTAGCTGGTCTACAAATACTTGATTCATCATCCTTTGGTAAGTAGCCCCTGAGTTTTTTTTAACCCAAACGACATTACATTATAGCAATAATTTGCTTTCTCCGATATGAACGCTGTTTTCTCTTGATCTTCTGGATGTAATGGGATCTGATTATACCCAGAGTAGGCATCCATAAAAGATAACATCTGAAATCCTGATGAGCTATCAACCAGCTGGTCTATATTAGGCATAGGATATGCATCCTTTGGACATACCTTATTCAGGTCAGTATAATCCATGCACACCCTCCACTTTTCATTTGTCCTTTTTACCATTACCACATTTGATAGCCAGGTGGTATATTGTATTTTTCGGATAAACCCAGCCTCTAGTAGCTCCTTAACATGATCCTCTAACACTTGCCGGCGTTCAGGGCAGAGCTTCCTCTTCTTTTGAGCTACCGATTTAGATCCCTTGTATACTGATAACTTATGACAGCAAAAGGCAGGGTCTACTCCAGGAATCTCGGTTGACTTCAAATCAAAAACATCCTTGTTGTCCTTCAGACATTTCACCAGATGGTTCTTCACATCCTCTTTCATCCCTTTGCCAACCTTCGTGGTTTGCCCTTGATCCCCAACGGCTATTTCTTCTAACTCTCCATCAGGTTCCGGCCTCGGCATCTGGGCGTCATCCCTCATGTCCAATTCTACCATGCTAACTGACTCTCCCCTCTTCTGACTTGGACTAGTCTGGCCATTGTTGCCATCTTCGTTGAGTTGAGTTGAGGAAATAGGGCCGCTCTCGACTGCCTTAACCGACTTAAAATAGCATTCCCGAGATTCTTTATGGTCTCCGGCAATAGTGGTCACTGTGTTTTGCTTGCCAACCATCTTTATTTTCTGATGCTTGGTAGATACCAACATATCCCATTTATGGATAGTAGGTCTTCCCTATATCACATTATACTATGGAGGGAAGTCGGCTACAATGAATCGTACCCTCTCAGTTTTGAACGCCTATTTTGACCCTAAGATAAGTCTGAGATCAATATATCCTTTAGGCGAGGTGTTTTGTCCATTGAATTCTATCAAGGTTGTTTTACATGGCCTTAGATCTTCTTCATCTAAGTTCATTTTTTTAAACGCCTTCCATGAAATTATGTCAGTGCAGCTGTCATTGTGCACGAAGATCCTCTTGACTCGGCAGTTGACCAATGTCCGGTTATGACCAGTCCGTCAATATGCCTTGGCATTACATCTTCTAACTCTTCTTTAGTTAAGTATAGCAACGGCGACTCTGTCAATTTTGCTTCCTCCTTAAATTTAGGCCGCCCTTGGATTGGCAATACCTCTCTTAAGTACTTTTTCTTGGTGTTCATCGTGTCTCCCCCTTCGCCAAAAGCTCCACTGATTACATTGTATTCGAACTCTGGTTCTACGAACTCATCCTCTTTTCTGACCGGCTTCTTGCCCCGGCCTTCCTTTTTCAATCTTTTTTCTTTTGCCGGGCTCATAGGCCGACATTTTCTTTTTCTATTGTTCCTCCATCCTTGAGTTCTTATAAGATACTGGCGCAACTTGCCATCCCTGATGTATCTTTCAATTGCATCTCTCAAGTCCCAGCATTCGTCGGTGGTGTGCCCCGGTCCATCATGAAAGGCACAATATCTGGTTTGGTCCAACCCGGCTTGATTTAACAAGGGTCGGGGTCTGTCAACCTTCTTCATCTCGGTAGAAGACATCTCTCTCCAAATTTGTGATCTGGGTGAATTCAGGGGTGCATATTTCTCGAACCTTCCCTTTGCCGGAGCTCTTTCTTTTTGCCTTTTACCCCAGAATTCAGTTTTCCTTCGATTTCTTGGCTTTTCGAATGCATTCGGTTGATGCTTCTGGTCCACGTTCTCCATCTCCATCTGCTCCAGCTCCAAATACTTCTTTGATCGAGCCGTAAATTCCACTAACGTTCGAACTGGATATTTGTATATCGATTTGGTCAACCTAGATGATCCATGCAACCCTGCTATGATCAGGTGTAGGTGGACATTTTCAGACAACCCTGGAACCTGTAAGGCTTCCTCCTTAAAGGGGTCCAAATATTTTTGTAAAGTTTCGCCAGGTTGCTGCCTTATTTTTCCCAACGCGAATTCTGACTTTGGCTGTTTTTTACTAGTAGCAAAGTTTAGCAAAAATCTTCCTCCAAACTCCTCAAAGGATCTGATTGATCCGGCTGACAGTGATGAAAACCACATTTGAGCTGCTCCTGTCAAGGTGGTTGCGAAAAGTCGCGTGATTAAAGGTTCCTCTATCCCCTTAATGTACATGGTCGTATCAAAAGCATCCAAATGCACCTGGGGATCTTGAGTTCCATCATACTTGGGGAGTTCTGATAAGTTTAAGTTTTCTGAGAAGGGTGCATCAACAATTTCGTTCACAAAGGGACTATCATTGTATTGCCCCATGTTGTACTTCCTCCTGTATATTTCGGATACATCATCCGGGTTTCGAATCTTTTGCCTATCATTATTAGGGTGAAAATTCTCCATTTGTCTTGTCGGGTCCCTTTCTTCACCTCGGCTACCAACCTGCCGTGTTTCTCGGTTTCGGGCTGGGTTAGAAGTTACCCTTTGACCCCGGCTACCAGCGTTTCTCACCTGACTTTGGTTCCCTCCTATGTTATCATTGTTCTGACGAGGATCCGTGATTCTTAAATCTGTCATGACTTGCGTTATAACTCTCGCGGGATTCGGGTTCGTGACCCGCTATAACCGAGCTTCCAACTCCCGGATCTGCCTGGCATCCTCCTGTCTTTGGAGCTCATTCCTTCTTTCCATCTCTTCCATCTCCTAAGCACTGCAGCAACTGCTAGATCTATCACCCGATGGTCACTGTTTGTACCGTTTGGCATTTGTTCAGCATTTGGAACCTGTCCTTCAATCGGGTGTAACCCCTCCACATACGGAGCGTTAGGGTTAATCGCTGGAGTTGATGCTGAGTCAGAGTGCACATCACTGACATGAACAGCGTTAGGATCTATCTACTGATGGTCATTGGGGACATGCTGTCCCGATGGATCCTCCCTAATAGGGGGACTGGTACATGTCTGGGATTTGACATCGATGGTTGCCGGTAACCGCTCGTGGTGGTCCGCACCATTTTTGATTGCTGAGGTTTTTAATCACGTAGTCGTGATCGTGGTCGTGGGTTCTTCCCCACAGACGGCGCCAATGTTCTGCCGGAGAGGCAGAGATGTCTAACCAAATGTTAGCTAGTTGATATAGGGTCTGGTGCTTTCTCTTTAGATACCTATGAACTAGGTATCTTGGGGTAGCAAATCACAACACACAATATGATGACCTTTGTCTAGAGAGGGTGTGTGTGTGCTATGTCTTTGCAATAAATAGGTTAAAGAGAAATAAGTCATACTTGTGATCTTTAGCTCTTATTTATAGATCTTACTTTTGGGCTCGTGCTGTCTGAGCCTTTTGAGAATATGGACCTAGCTCATGTCCATAACAACATTATTCTTGGAAATGGCACAAAAAATAATATACATTACAAAAACATGATGAGTAAAAATGCAATAATATTTTAGATCATATCATTAACTACAATTATTTTAGGTAAGAAATTATTAATTACAATTTAAGACAATTTTACTAATATATACTCGTATGTCTACAATTCTTTGCACTGGTAAAATAATTTTTTGGCAGATATAATTGATTCTTCATTTTATAAATAAATTGATACAAATAGATGGGTAGAAGATTCTTGAAAGCTGCCAAACATCTTATAAATTAGTGTTGCCAAAATCTGGACCGTTTCTGCGTCATTGTTTTCTATCCGTCAGATTGTGTCTAATTTGATGTTGACCGTACGATAGACTTTCTCTACTTTCCTCTAAATAACATTTTGCTAAGGTCTTTGTGCTTTAATTCTCTTCTTTTTCTCTTTTCTCTGCTTCGGCGTTGCTTAACAATTTCTACAACCTTTGGGTTTTGGGTTTCTGAATCAAATTGAACTCAAATTTTCTCGTCCAACAAGGTAACTTCATTTCGCTTGTCTTTGAATCTAAATATCCGTTTGTGTTTTCTGATTGTTTGTTTCTCTGTATCGGTTGCATTGAAAGAAACAATTGTTAGGGTTTGTATGCTTGGCTCTTATATATCTTTTAGTCTATCTATTTATGCGTTAATGAATAGCCTTTTATTGAATAGTTATATCATATAATTATAATTATATCATAACTTCCCTTCAATTCTGCTAATTCCTCTGACAAAACAGCTTTTGAGACTGTTTGTTCAAAATCTCTCACTAAGCTGAATCCAACCGAACCGGTAAAGCAGTTCGGTTATCTGAGTGAACCTTTACAGAAAAAATATTCGATTCTTAAACTGGTTAAATAAAATTGGACCGGTTATTAAACTGGTTTAGAAAAATGTGGTCATTTATGACGCAGTTTGATTTGGTTCATGATTCCATTGGGTTCCTATGATTTTTTTACTCCTAGGAATGGACATTTTTTTTACTCCTAGGAATGGACATGGTTTGGTTTGGTTTTTTATGGTGAACCAAACCAAACCGGTAAAGTGATTCGGTTCTATATATTAAACCGGTTTAGAAAAATGATTCAAATTCTTAAACCAGTTAAAAAAAGGGAAAAATATTTCATTTTAGTTAAAATGACTGTTTTTTATTTAATATTTAAATTAAAAAAAAATTCCAACTTTCTCCCACCATGTGTAACTGTTTCTCTTACCATAAAACACTGTAGTTTTGATTAAAATAACACAATTTTATGTCCTTTAAAAGGACAAACACTAATCCCTTCTTAAATCAATTTAGAAAAAATGGTTAATCATGATGCAATTCGATTAAGTTGATGGTATGATTCGGTTCGGTTCATATTGTTTGTTTGCCATACCTCTTAATTTAGGGTGACTGAGGGTGTAGGTAAAAATAGGAGGTCTTTGGGGTGTTCAGGGTGCAGCCATAAAAGTTCATAATGCTTTTCAAGTAGTTAAAGATGGAATCCATCCTTGGTTCTGCCATACATAACTAAGAATGTGAAGTAAATGGAGCGCCTAAAGTTTCTGTCACCATACCAATTCTGTCTGGCCACTTTGATTCATTGAGAAATGTCAGTTTATGTGATAAGGTGTTGTGAAGTGAGAATAGCACTTAGTTCATAATTTTTGCTTGGCTAAATGTCTATGTAAACTGTAAACTAGAATGATTAGTGTGAATAAAGTTTGGAACTATATTTGTCTATTGATCTAGAAGTTGGTGTGTTTGTCAGATTACTATTTGCTGTACTGCTGACTTCTGATTATCAATATTTTATTTTGCCCCATCTCCGAATGGATATGATTATATTCTGGATTATACTTGTATCCTGTGTTTTTCTCTTCTTTACTTTGGGGTTCTAACAAATTGTTAGTACAGTTTATGGAATTATTAATTAGACTTGGATGCTGTGACATCCTTTTGATTTGTGTGCTTCAATTCAGTGGCTGTAGGGGTTGATAAAATAAGATAAATTTAAAGAGCTTATTTCACTGCCTAAGGTATATTGGGATGAGTCTTTATTATTGTAATTGGCTTTATGTCTTTTTCTTTGATGGCTTAGTCCCAAGTTTGATGCCGCGATGACCTTGTTTGTTGCATTGTTTGAGCTTATTAGATATTTGATTCAATAAATGATTTAAAAAAGTAGTTCATCGGAGTTAAATATGTTTGGTTTTATATAGCCATTTTATTTTCCTACAGGTATGACATGTGGTCGTTCTAAATTGTTAATAGATGGTGCTCTCTTACTTTTTCTTGCATACTATGCGTGGAATTTCAGATTCTGTATTATTATTGCCTTTTAATTTGGCATGAATTTAAGGCCCTGCCTCACTAGAACAAAATAAATTCAAAATGATTATTGCAGCTTAATATTTTGTTTAATGTTGATATCAGAGTGTAGTTTATGATAATAATGTTTAACTAAATTGCTTGATGATCATTGAGCTAATGATATAATTTGTTTCAGCTGTTGGAGTCTCGGAGAGCATGGAATCTCAGAAAAGCCAACCTGAAAAGCAGTCATTGTCAACTGCAACTGCCCCATCCGTTACTTCATGTCGAAAGAAGAAGAGTGAAGAAGCCACTTTCTTGGAGGATATGAAGGATCACATTGACGAGTTTATTAATGCTTCCATGGATGAACACAAAACTTGTTTTAAGAAAACAGTTCAAAAGGTTTGTACCTAAAACTTTGGGAAAATTATTTGCTTCACCTTTGTCATATGCTGATATAGTGGCTTCGGATCAATTTTCAGATGTTTGGTATGTCAAAGGCGGTTGCAGAAAGGAACTCCAATGCTGCGAAAGAAGTTGAAAGTTCTCTGCCTCTTCAGACAACTGTACAAGACTAGATTTCTTGCTTTTGAACCTCTAGGTGAAGAACACAGACATACTGAGCTTTTGTTTTTTCTTGTGGGTGAAACTTCTGTTCCATGAACAGGAAGAAAGAATCATGCTTCAAATAATGTGTGGGCTGGTTCATGAGGCTTGTCGAACTGTAACTGCGTTTGAGCCATAAGGCCCATAACATTTTGGATTAAACCAACTGAATCAAAAGAGAAAGGGTAAACATAAAGAAAAATAGAGTCTACAAAATTCGAAGTAAATCAAGATTTTGTAATAGCAATTTTTAAGGACCAGTATTATTATTAAGAATACCAAGGTACGTGTATGATCATGATGCGTGTGTTGTTCAACCAACCGACCTAACAATTTCTCGATGAGTATGATTTGCTTGCTTTTGCATTATGTTGGCCACACCATTCTGTCCTTGCTTAGTACTTTTGTAGTCATTAGCTGTTTAGAAGAGACAATAGCACAACCACATGAGTGAAATACATGATAAACTGTATAGAGCACTGTAGCAGAGCTATTAGAAGAGACATTGGGGGCAGGGATAATGCTATGGAGGTGACAGAGAAAAGACAATAAGTAAATGAAGTGTCAAATAGACGTTGAGTCAATAAAAGCTGTGAGTAGTGCTCATGTTTCCACGTGTTAGTTTGGTTTTTTGTATTTGCATTCTTTGCTTGTGGCGCCTAATTTCTATTTAAGCTATTGATGTTATGGTCTGCCCCCAAGGACCAAGGTGTTTCTTGAATTTTGAACCCCTATTTTATGATTAAAGTTGACGGAAATGAATTATCTCATATTTCATTTAATATATGATTAGGACTTGTAGATGATATCAGACGGTCATAGACAAATAAACTATTATGGTTTTCTTTGTCTCTATCTTAACACTTTTCTTTCTTATCTATCATTTTTGAGATTCGTCTATAAATGCCGCAGATTGTATTAAGCATGAGGTCATGTGATATAATTCATTTCAAAAGTTCACACATATGCAACTCAAATTACCATATGAGCCACACTTCATGTTTCCATGTGTCAAAACTTTCATTGGTAGATACTAGTCCATGTACTTTCCACCATTCAAGAGCAAAATTTCCTGCCTCTTTTATCTTGGATTTCAATGGGAGGATCTTCTTGCTATATATATTGAGTTCAGCTATGAGCAATTGCAGTCCTCTACTTTTTCTATTATTATGCAAAGTCTCCAATTTCCAAGTTTATTTCTTTTTCTTGATATCATTTTAGCAGCGCTAGTTGTTTTACATCGAGATTTGAATCCTCTACCGAATTTTCGCTTTCTGTGTTCCTTGATAACTAGGTAACTGACACCCTTTCATAAATGATAAAATAAGCACATTACATACAACTTTATTAAGGATACGAACTTAAACAAGGTCGTTGATTTTTCAAGGAAGCTTCAACGACAAGAAAGCACAACATGGAATCATGAGATATGATTCTTATGACTAATATAGTCGAATCACTAATACTACATCACTAGCACTACAAATTATGTGACACAAGGTACTACTACCATTACTACTAGGACACTAAAAAAAGTTGCTAGATGGTGAAAAAATAAGTAATTCTTTGTTGTTGATGGCAGTTGTTCACTAGAGCTTCAAGTGTCTCAGCCTGCAAGTGAATGCAAGAATTTGTTCAGGAATGGGCAAATAAAAATTTGTTTGCAGATTTAGTATATATAATTAACTGGTGCAACAGTAACTTCTGCTTTCTGCTTGAAATATGATTCTTCCTAGAATTTAATGGGTGTTTTGCGTAGCATACAATTCATGGGAAAATTCAGATATAGAGTACAGTATGCATTTGTTTAATAAGCAGCATGTGGTGTGGGAATATGAAGATAACAATTTAGAGTCATTGTGTTTAATAAGCAGTATGTGGTGCGGAAATGTCAATATCAACATTAACAATACATTTATCTCAAATTAGTTGGGGTCGATGGTAGATTAATCCAAATGAAAAGTACGAAAAGATTAAGGAAAAAAACGATAAATGGTATGAAAATGTGGAGATACAAAGAGTCATTTTGTTTAATAAGCAGCATAGGGTCTTAGAATATACTATACTTGTTCTCCTCATTAGAGCCTTCATTTTTTCTTGTAGTTTGGGAATGGCACTTGCCCTGATTCAATGTGCTTAACATCCCGGACGAGGAGCTCATAGTGCCTCTTAACTTCCTCCGGAGTTTTCCCACCGACGGCGCGAGCAACATTGTACCACCGGTCAGGGGTGTCCTTGTCATAAACAGCTAGAGCCCTTTCAAAGGCTTTATTGTCCTTAGAACTCCATGAGCCAGATGATGACATTGAACTTGATGCCATTTTCTTGAAGGAAATAACAAGGAAGTTGTGATTTGAGAATCACTATAGAGAATGGTCTAAGGTTTCAACAGCAGTGGAAATTTAATTGAACTAGTACTAGTGCTTAAGATCAGCAAAGGGTATCAAAAAATCGGAAGAGTGTGTATAGAATAAGACTCCAAGGAAGTGTTGGTATGTTCTAAGAGGAAGAAATATATGCTCCTTTTATAAGAAGTGAAGAGAATAAGGTAGGGTGGAGACAGGTGGAAAGCAAATCTTTGTCAAAATGAAGTAGAATTTGAATGATTTGTCTCCTCAGGAACCACAGAATAGAGCAGGACCAAGAAGTTGAGCAGCAATATGAGAGAATCAGTATCTTCAAATAGTAAAAATAAGTTAATGAATAGAAGGGACTCACCAAAAGTTTTTTAACTTTTTTCTTGATATAAAAGTCATATCTAGATAAAAACTTACTTATGTTTCTAGCATGTGAGTTTAAGGGTCATAGAAAACTCCACACATTGATAAACAGTTGGACATTCAAAACCTGTAACACACTTCCCTTTATTGAAGTTAATATTAGTTTAGAACTGTGCATATATCACGTGGTTGAGAAAATGGACACGACCAACCTCTTTGAATTAAACAGTAAATTTCAGCTGTGGTTCAGATCCTAAGAACGTATGAGAGCCCCATCAACTAGGTCACTTAATGCCCTTAACTTTATTTTATTCTCTTGCTTGAAGGGTCTTTAGTGGGTCCGAGCTCAAGCCCGTGAATCTGCTGAAGGGATCAAAGCTTCACGTTTGCATCACACAACTATAATATCATGTTCACAACAGTTCCTTTGCAATGAAAAATCCCTTTGTGTTTTCATCACTGCAGGTGTTCTTGTAAGTGTAGTTTGTCCTGATTCCAACACTACAGTCTACAGCTGTCTAGTTGAGGCCGTACAATGTATCCTTCTTCCTTCAATAACAATAACTACATAAGCAATGTGTCTTTTGATTTTGTGAGAACTGTAACCTTGAAGCATGACCATGTAGGAAACGTATGGGAATATCATTATACACAACTTTTTACCACAGTAGGATCCATTTTTGGTAATAGTAAAATCAAGTGACATGGACAAGTGATTAAATAATTCAAATTATTAAAACATTTACTGTAACCTGATTTGAGTTTTTTTTTTTCTTTTCTTAAACTATATGATAAGAGAATTACCAATGATAATTGCTCATTTTTATTATTCTAATGTCTAATATATGAGGTAAAATTATTTTACAATGGTGTAAGCTACACTTTCAATCTTAGTTGTGGATTCCACTTGCATCCAACATGTCATGTAATTAGTAAATTAGAGTCGTTCGATGCAAGTAGGTAATGATTAAAATTGGATGTAAGATTTCTCATTCTTAAACTGGTATAAGTTGATTGTTCCTTTTACATGTATAGATACATAGACAGAAAAAGAACATATTCCATGATTTGTTTGCTCTGTCTTTTGCTGTTACGTTGGACCAGTATAGATAGCATAGAGGGGTTTTTGAAAAAAAAAAAAAAGAATTACCAATGATAATTGTTCTTTTTTATTAACCTAATGTTTGATATACGAGGGAAAATTATTTTACATCAGTATAAATTATGCTTTCAATCTTAATTATGGATTCCACTTGCATCTAACTGCTCACATAACTATTAAATTATAGTCCTTCGGTGCAAGTAGATGAACAGTTACAATTTGATGTAAGACTTTTTATTTTTGTACCGGTATAAGTTCATCGTTTGCTTTTACATAGATAGACAGATAAATAGAGAACATACTCTATCTGTTGTCTTAGGACCAGTGCCATGAAGATTAACTATAGGCTACAGGGTTTGTTCACTAATCATTAATTACTAATTGTAGTATAGAGGCCATCATCTTTAGCTGCTAAGTTTGGTCAGGCCTCCTGCAAACAGGATACATGTATGATGTTTGACCCTTCTGGCTAAATACATGGGTTGAGTCATGCTGGCTCATTATCTGTTTGGCCTTTATACCTGTAAATAAGGAACATCAACATTCCACAATAACATAAATTAAGTCATATCTGTTTGTTCATGTTTAAGTGAAAGGCGACAAAGTGACAGAGACTTTCGTCAACCTTGTTTCCAAAAGCAGTTATGAATATTAGACAAGAACTTTGTTCTTAAAAAGGCTAAATGGTATACTGTGTTGTAGGAAAATAAAGTTTTTCTGGTCTTTGGACCACTTATTTATGTCATATGGCCCTTCTTCTGAGTGCTGTTGAGTGAGAGAAAAGCATCTAAAGATAAGCATTTCGGCGTTAGAAATGCAGATGGTTACGATTCATGTTCCCTTAACGCATATAAAGCTAATGAGAATTTGTGTTTGGGACCACGAATAATTGTTGTTGCTTAGAGTTTTCTAAGTCTATTTATATTATTTTGTAACTGAGTACATTGTAACAAGTGTGTGGAGAAGAATATAATAATAGACTTGTTGGAAGTAACCCTATATTGGAATGAACAAGAATAAACAGTGTACTACTTTTCTCTCCCTCTTCATTTTCTATTTGCAACTATGTGTGTAATTGAATCGATTTGAGAACAAAAACATTCAAGAGCACAAGTTGTTGTGTGCCACGCATGCTCTAAGAACATGTTTCTTCAGTGTTTCTCATTCGAGAATTAATATAATTGAATTCTATGGAAAAACTAAATATCAGTTTCCATTTTGGAATAAGACTAAAGAATACATAAGCATCGTATTTCTGAGGTCGGTGTAGTGATACCATGGCTATAGGTAGCAACTTGGTTTAGAATGCCACCGCCCTATGGAACTATTGTTGTTTTAATATCTAGCAAGTAGGCTTCAGTACAATATATTCTTCCAAGATAGCCCAAACCAATGCTCAATATTTTGAAATACTACTATATTGATTTTATATATTTCCATAATTTGCTGAAAATCTTTATGATGCTGTAACAATAGGGATTGTTTCTCTTTTTAAAAGAAGACATCTATGCTTCCAAGCCTTTTGGATGCAATTGTGGGGCACTCTCAAATATTCCATACATGTTGATGTAATGGGAAAGTCAATGTCCTAAGAGACTTCAAATTTGGTGTATGTTTTAATTAGTGTACTTTCTTGTGATCAACATCATTTTTTAACATACCAAATTTGTAAATCAATAATTATAAGTTTCTTCAAGCAAGTTCAAAACATTTTTAAGTGAATCTAGTTTCACACTCTCACTTTCAAAAGTTGTATCACCAATCATGCTCACTGGATCCATACCACAATGTATGGTAATGAGGTTAGAGTGATCATTGGTTGAAAGTTATACTAGATTCAAGGAGTTTTATGAGAAAAAGAGATGGTTGGTGATGAGGCTCATCAGTCATCGCCAATATCCAGACTAGAATGTTTATCACTCAGTCTATAGTGATACTTTTAAAAATGGTTTAGGTTGTGTTTTAATGCAAGAAAAAAAAGTAGTGCCTATACTTCTAGACAACTCAAACCATATGAGGAAAATTACCCTACTCTTGATGTGGAATTAACAACAATAGTGTTTGCCTTAAAGATCAAAAGACATTATTTGTATGGAGTGAAATTTGAAGTCTTTAGGGACTACAAAAGTCTTAAGTATCTGTTTGACAAAAAACAATTGAATATTAGATAAAGAAGATGGATGGAATTTCTAAAGGACTTTGACATTGACTTGAAACACCACTCGGGAAAGGCAAATATAGATGCATATGTCTTTAGTTGTATGTCCTTACACTTATCTCATATGATGGTTTAAGAGTAAGAATTGATAGAAAAGTTTAGAGACCTGAATTTGTCAATAATATTGAGCCCAACTAGTTTAAGGTTGAGTATACTAGAAGTCATTTATGACGAATATGATGGTTCATGAGGCCTATGATGTGAGAGGATTCATTTCAAAAGTTCACCCATGTGCAACTCAAATTACTAGTTTGTAATGGATAGAACAAATTATCTATGTTATTGTGACGGCACTTTCACATAGAATAGTCTCATTGTAACACCCCGTATATATCCAGTAATGTTATCATACTATCGTATTAAGCTGCGCTTAATTAAAAATGCGGAATATCTTTTTCTATTCATTTATAATGTCATTAATCATTACCAACTTGATTACTTAACCATTTTCAAAACATCGTCTGTATGCATATTGCAATAAACAGCTAACTGGAATACCTCATTAATTAAATAACATAAGTATGTCTCTAGACACGGAACTACAACACGTAGACCGATCCAATTAGCAGTTTATACAACTCAACTCAATAGTACTAACAACATAGTGGCATGGATAACTCTCATGCTCACCCAAATAAGGCAACAAAGCCCAACATAAGTCTCAACTCAATAATCATAAATGACAGAAAACATAAACATCATTCAATCCAGTCATGCCAGCATAATATGAACAACACTAAACATCAACTAAGCTCTGGCCTCCTGCCGCCAGAGGCATCAGTTCCCATACTACCTGAACCTGAAATAAGCATTCCCCAAACATGGGGTGAGATCTCTAAACAAGAAATCTCAGTAAGGCAAGGGGTCCTCAAAAATCTTCCACCCCAAGCTCACTTACATGTGCAATATAAGTTCAAAAGCAGTTCATCAATATCATTTCTAAAATAGTGCAATGCAGCAGATAATCATGTCATGTGTGTCAATACTATTCTACTGGCCAGAGAAATGCAGGATTTATATACGTCTAATACCCACAAATAGTGCAAGACGCTACTTGCATCCACCCCAGATCACCGTCTTGTATGACGCCACATACTCAGGCTTACCGTCAAGATGGAACAACACATGCATATTAAAAGCCATTACACATAAAACTCAACAACATTTCAAATATCCAAAGCATGTAACACATCATGCATATAACCATACCCCCATGGGACATGGTGGAACCACGACATGGCTAAACCGAGGACACGAAAGCTTACCTCTTAAGCAATTAATCCAAGTCAAGTCCACACGAGCTCAATGTCCAAAGACAACAGATCACAATCTGATTTAGAACCAGCAAGCATATCAACATTCATAGCTCCATAGCATAAACATAAAGACTACGTTTTTCTTTTATGTTTTACGTCTTAAGGCTTCCCACAAAGCCATAAGCCCTTAATCACTTGATTCTGACTTAGTTAAATATTTACAGAAGTTCAACTCCATCAAAATAGGTCCACAAACCCATAGCTCAGTTCTGTATGAACAATACCTTACTGTTCCTCGAAATCCCAGAATATCCGGATATATGTCGGGGGCATATTCGGATATCAATATCCGGATACCATATCCGGATATGCATATCTGGATACCATATCCGGATATGCATATCCGGATATCAAAGACCCCATATCCGGATATTTATCGACCCTATATTCGGATATTTCGCGACAGAATGCAGTTTCTGCATTTCGCGAAGATATCCACCAAAGGTCCAACTTTTACCAATTAAAAGCGTTCAAGACTCCATTTTTAGGTCTATACAGGTTCATACATATGTTAGTTACTTGCTTAACCCATTTACATGCAAAGACACCACCTTTAAATCATTTAAACTCATGATCAAGGTTAGGCAACTCACCAAAGCTTCAAACTCAGAAATGGAAGGCTCTTGTAGCTCACCAAACAGCTCCAAATATACAGACTTGCAAGGAGCACGAAAATGCCACACCAAAGGTTGGTTCTTGCTAGGGGTGGCAATACGGGTCAACCCGACACGACACGACACGACACGTTTTTGACCCGTACACTATTTGACACGACCCGTTTTGTAAACGGGTCGTAAAACACAAACCCTGACACGATCCGTTGCGGGTCACGGGTCGACACGACACGACCCGCAAAATTTAAAATTAAAAAAAAAATGGGATTTTTTGAAAAATAAATAAATTAAAAACAATAAAAAAAAAGAAAGATAAGCTTCTGTTTTTTGAGATTTTTAGTTCCTTCTATTCTTTTCTATACTAAACAATGACTATATATATCAATATATAAATGAATAAAAATAATAATATAATAAAATATTTAATAAAAAATAAAAAAATGACATTGTGCGGGTTGACACGCGAACCCGCGGGTTGACACGTGACCCGACACGAAAAAAAGGGTCACATTTACACAACCCTGACACGACCCGCCTTGACCCGCGGGTTGACACGACACGTGATTTGGCGGGTCGGGTCACGGGTCAACCCGCGGGTCAATACCTGTATTGCCACCCCTAGTTCTTGCACCAAAAGATGACTCCTTGGCACCACAAATGCCAAGCCAAAGGACCACACCCTCTCTAAACTCAAAGTCAGCACCTATCCTCACCAAGGCAGTAGCAAGAACTCAAAAAAACAACCCATTTTTACTTCCCAAGGCTAGAATGCACTCACCCATAGAGTTTTCATGAAGAACCCAAGAGGAAATGAGGTCTCTTGTTGTCTCAAATGGAAGGAGAAGGAGGTGGTAGGGTGGCTGGTGTCACACCTTCAGCAAACTCAAGTAGGAGAAATGTATGGCCTAGGATTTTGGGCCATACTATAGTATATATAGTCACTTAAACCATAAACGCACAATATTAACTTTAATTGTTACGCTTAGCATTTTAATCCCGAACTCAGGATTCTTAACCTACTCAATTTTACAAGAATTATCATATTTTTCTTATATTTTACGGAGCACTTTTCCGGTACTCGCTTTTCATAGCCAGTACCAGTTTCTGGCACCAGTTCTCATTATTTTAACTTGAAACTCGTTTTACAAGTCTTACATATTATTCTAGTAATTATCATGTACTTATTATAATTTTCCGGGATACTTTTTTGGTACGCATTTATACTGACTAGCAGAACCGGTATCTGCACTTTTCGTCAGAAAAGCGACTTTCAGCATTATTACTCACTTACTATAATTATTAGAGCCTCATAATAATTATTAGGGTCAATTATGGAATTATCTCATTAAACTCATAATTAACTGATTAATTTTCTTAATTAACGGTGCGGGTTCTTATACTCATCGTACTCAACTTATGTCTGATCAATCTCATTGGGGTAGAAGGATGCAAATGTAAAATAATGTTGTTCTGGTTGGCTCCCTCCAAACCAATAGATTGGGCCCAACGTTAATGGCCTTTATCTAGAACTTTCTAGAGGATATCCCATGGTGAGCCATATAACATTATCAATGAGATCCCCTTTCTCCTGCACTCCTACCCATCATACATTGGCGATGGGTGCAAAATGCCTTGAAGCAAAGGCAAGGCTAGGCTAATGGTGGCTCAACTTTTTCCTCTTTCTCTCCAACATCTATAAATACCCCTCTACTCCTATGGAAGAGGCATCCAATATCCTATACTTTTATGAGTTGTTACTCTACTGAGATTTAGAGCCACGGTAGCCGAAACACACATCCCCATTATAGAGATATTTGTCTTGCACCTGGGGTAACTTATATTGTGCCTTGGTCTATACCATTGCTACATAGAGCATCCCTAAATCGATATACTTCACTCTTCACATGATACATCTTTGGTTCTTACTCGGTAACAGTTCAAGTGTATAAAGGGAAAAACTAGTCTCTAAAATTCTAATCACTGTTCATTTATAAAAAATGTAAGGTCAAAATTTAAATGACATATTTGACAAAAAAGACAAATTTTCCAAATCAAACTTCTTTTTCCTAAATATCAATATCAACATCAACAACATTTTAATCCCAAACTAATTGGGGTCGGTGGTAGATGAACCAAAAGAAAGGTACAAAATATTTGAGGAAAAGGGGGTACAAATAAACTTTAAGTATATATATATATATATATATATATATATATATATATATATATATATATAGACAGGATCATTTGACACCGGTGTCAAAAAAAAAATTTGACACCTCATCTGAGAGCCGTTAGATTAAAAAAAATCAACGATTCTGATTTGTAAGCATGTGACACCATTGATTTTTTTTAATATAACGGCTCTCAGATGAGGTGTCAAACTTTTCCTTTGACACCGGTGTCAAAGGATCCTGCCTCATATATATATATATATATATAAGACAAGATCCTTTGACACCGGTGTCAAATTTAAAGTTTGACATCTGATCATCTGAGAGTCGTTAGATAAAAAAATCAATGGTGTGACATGCTTACAAATTAAAGTCGTTGATTTTTTTTTTTTATCTAACGGCTCTCAGATGAGGTATCAAATTTTAAATTTGACACTGATATCAAAGGATCCTACCTCTCTCTCTATATATATATATATATATATATATCATTATCCATAAAAAAATATTACACAATTAAAAGGAAAAATAAAATGAAAACTCTGACAAATAGATAATGTTATGTTTATTTAATATGATAATGACATGAGAGATGAATATTGTCATTTCTGGACAAAAATGATTATAATTTTCCCAGTGTCTCTATCTTTTAACACTTTGTTCTCTTACCTCTCATCACTTGGATTTGTCTACAAATGCCTAAGATTGGGTCACATGAGATGAGATGTAACATAAGAGGATTTATTCTAAAAGTTCACTCGTGTGCAACTTAAATTATAATATGAGCCACACGGAAACACACACCTCATGTTTCCGTGTGTCAAACTTTCGTTGGTAGATAGTAGTCCATGAACTTGTCCACTATTCAAAAGCAAAACTTCCCGCCTCTTTAATCTTGGATTTCAATGGGAAGAACTTCTTGTTATATATATTGAGTTCAGCTATAAGCAATTGCAGTCCTTTACTTTTTTCAATTATTGAATAAAGTCTCCAATGTCCTAGTCTATTTCTTTTTCTTGATATCATTTTAGCAGCACTAGTTGTTTTACTTTTTCGCGTTCTGTGTTACTTGATACTTAACCAGGTAACTGATATCCTTTCACAAATGATAAATAAGCACATTACATTACAACTTTATTAAGGATGGTAACTAAAACAAGGTCGTTGAATTTTCAAGGAAGCCTCAACGAAAAAAAGCACAACACGGAATCAAGAGATATGATTCATATGACTAATAGTCTAATCACTAATACTACATCACTAGCACAAAAAATTACGTAACACAAGATACTACTTCCACTACTACTTGGACACAAAAATAAAGTTGCATAATGGTGAAAAAATCAGAAATTCTTTGTTGTTGATGCAAGTTGCTCACTGAAGCTTCAGGTTTCTCAGCCTGCAAGTGAATGTAAGAATTTGTTCAGGAATGGGCAAATAAAAATTTGTTTGCAGATTTAGTATATATAATTAACTGGTGCAACAGCAACTTCTGCTTTCTGCTTGAAATATGATTCTTCCTAGAATTTCATGGGTGTGTTGCATGGCATACAATGCATGGGAAAATTTAGATATAGAGAAGTAGAGATTGCATTGTTTAATAAGCAGCATGTGGTGCGGGAATATGAAGATAACAATTTCGAGTCATTGTGTTTAATAAGCAGTATGTGGTGCGGGAATGTCAATATCAATATTAACTATACATTTATCTCAAACTAATTGGGGTCGGTGACATGTGAACCCAAATGAAAAGTGCAAAAAGATTAAGGTAAAAAGGATAAATGGTTTAAAAATGTGGAGATACAAAGAGTCATTTTGTTTAATAAGCAGCATAAGGTCTTAGAATATACTGTACCTTTTCTCCTCATTAGAGCCTTCATTTTTTCTTGTAGTTTGGGAATGGCACTTGCCCTGATTCAATGTGCATAACATCCCGGACGAGGAGCTCATAGTGCCTCTTAACTTCCTCCGGAGATTTCCCGCCAACGGCGCGAGCAACATTGTACCACCGGTCAGGGGTGTCCTTGTCATAAACAGCTAGAGCCCTTTCAAAGGCTTTATTGTCCTTAGCACTCCATGAGCCAGATGATGACATTGAACTTGATGCCATTTTCTTGAAGGCAATAACAAGAAAGTTTTGATTTGAGAATCAGTATAGAGAATGGTCTAAGGTTTCAACAGCAGTGAAAATTTAACTGAACTAGTACTAGTGCTCAAGATCAGCAAAGGGTATTAAAAATTGGGAAGAGAATATATAGAATAAGACTCTATGGAAAGAGTTGGTATGTGCTAAGAGGAAGAAATGTATGTTCCTTTTATAAGAAGTGAAGGGTGTAAGGTGGGGTAGAGAGTTAATGCAAATCTTGTCCAAATGAAGAAGAATTTGAATGATTTGTCTCCTCAGGAACCACAGAATAGAGCAGGACCAAGAAGTTGAGCAGCAACATGGGAGAATCAGTATCTTCAAATAGTAAAAATTAGTGAGTGAATAGATAGGACTTACCAAATGCTTTTTAACTTTTTCTTGATATAAAAATCATATCAATATAAAAATTTACTCTCTCTAGGTTTCAAGCATGTGGGTTTAAAAGGGTCATAGAAAACTCCAAACATTGATCAAGAAGTTAATATTAGTTTAGCACTATGCAGATATCACGTGGTTGAGAAACTGGGCACGACCAACCTCTTTGAATTAAACAGTAAATATCAGTTGTGGTTCAGATCCTTAGAACGTATATGAGAGCCCCATCAATTAGGTCACTTTATTTTATTCTCTTGCTTGAATGGTCTTTAGTGGGTCCAAGCTCAAGCCAGTGAATCCTCTGAAGGTATCAAAGCTTCACGTTTGCATCACACAATCATAATATCTTGTTCAAAACAGTTCCATTGCAATGAAAAATCCCTTTGTGTTTTCATGATTGCTGGTGATCTTGTAAGTGTAGTTTGTCCTGTTTCACACACTAGCTGTCTAGTTGAGTCCGTACAATGTGTCATTCTTCCATCAATAACAATAACTACATAAGCAATTTGTCTTGTGATTTTGTGAGAACTGTAACTTTGAAGCATGACCATGAAGGAAACGTATGGGAATATCAATATACCCAGCTTTTTACCACAGCAGGATCCGTTTTATGTAATACTAAAATCAAGTGACATGGACAGGTGATTAAAGAATTCAAATTATTAAAACATTTATTGTAACCTGATTTGAGGTTTTTTTTCCCCTTAAACAATATGATAAAGAGAATTACCAATGATAATTATTCATTTTTATTATTCTAATGTCTGATATACAAGGAAAAATTATTTTACACCAGTGTAAGTTACACTTTCAATCTTAGTCGTGGATTCCACTTGTATCCAATAGGTCACCTAACTACTAAATTAGAGCCATTTGATGCAAGTATATTATGATTAAAATTGGATGTAAGATTTCTTATTCTTAAACCGGTATAAGTTAATCATTCCTTTTTACATATATAGATACATAGTGTAACATCCCGGACGCTTGCATAGTTAGTGAAAGAACTAACGTACAATGTTCCAGTGGGAGGGGTACATGATGTAATCGAATCAACACCCGAACGAGAGGGATCCAGGGACTGTGCATGTATGAGACTGTACAGTTGAAAATGGCTTATAAGAATTCATAGATACTACCTATACTAATAATATGCATTTACTTTTCGGTAGCTTATAACGGAAGAACTCCATAGTTAAACGTGTTTGACTTGGAGCAATTTTGGGATGAGTGACCTCCTAGGAAGTTGCTTAGGAAATGTGTGAATGAGGACAAAGTACGCTGAAAAATCTTGTGTTATTATGTGGGGACAGTCATTGATTCTGAAAATCGTCGGGCATTACACATATACAGAAAGTGAACATACTCTATGATTTGTTTGCACTGTCTTTTGCTGTTACCTTGGACTAGTATATCATAGAGGGTGTTTTAAAAAAAAAAATGGAATTACCAATTGTTCTTTTTTATTATGCTAATGTTTGATATATAAGGCAAAATCATTTTACACCGATATAGATTACACTTTCAATCTTAATCATGGATTCCACTTGCATCCATCTGCTCATATAACTTGTAAATTATAGTCCTTTGATGCAAGTAGATAAATGGTTACGATTTGATGTAATACATTTTATTCTTATACTAGTACAAGTTCATTGTTTCCTTTTGCATAGATAGATAGATAGAGAACTTACTCTATGATCTGTTTGCTCTATCATTTGTTGTTATCTTAGGACTAGTGTCATGAAGATTAACCATAGGCTACAGGGTTTTTTCACTAATCATAAATTACTAATTGTAGTATAGAGGCCATTATCTTTAGCTGCTAAGTTTGGTCGGGCCTCATGCAAACAGGATACATGTATGATGTTTGACCCTTCTGGCTAAATACATGGGTTGAGTCATGTTGGCTCATTATTTGTTTGGCCTTTATACCTGTAAATAAGGAACATCTGAAAGTAAAATGGCCTTGAAGGCCGTAGCATGTGAGAGGGAAAAACAAAATTTTTCATATGCGGAATTACACATGCAATCAAGAATCATGCTTTATGGCATGTGGTGTTACCTTTGTTTGTGAGTTCAAAACTCCAAGACGATCAATGTTAGGTTTGAAGGGTTCAAACCCTCTAACGTTGATTCACACCACCCACGTCAAGATGCAAGAACGCTTTCTTGAAAGCCACCAATTGACCACCACAGAGAGGCTTGCTATGCGCTTAATAGGTGAAGAAGGAGGCTAGGTATATGTGTTTAGAAGAGTGAAGTCTCCAGCAAGAAAACTTCACAAGAATGGGAATGGTATATAGAAGAATTGGCTAGGTTCTTTTGAAAAACCTTAAGGAGGAACTCACCGACTAGGCGCACAAGAGAGGGAGAGAATTAGTGTATCAAATCATAATTTTTACTTTACTTATAATGAAAGTGGCGCACAAGTGAGTGAGACAAAGGTGGAGTTGTTGCAATTCAAAAATCCCAACAACCTCCCCTTTGAATCCTCATAAGACTAGGTCTTTATCTAGTCAAAATTCTGAACCAATGGTCATCATATGACCACCAATTCATGCGCCCCTATTCAGCCCAAAAAGGGTCCAGATACATTTGAGCTGTTGCATTCAAGTTTGAACCAACTAGCTCACTGATTCTCTCAACAACCAAATCTGATTGGAGCTTGTTGGTTTGAAAAGATGACAATCATCTCCCACCAAAATGGCGCCCCAAATCAACCCTTGGAGATCTCCATAGATCTTCTCTTGATACAAGGGATTTGTTCCAATAAGATCTCATCTTATCCTTTTGTTATGAAACAACTTTTCATAGCCAATTCAAATTTGAATTCAAACATTTAAATTCAAACGTTCAAACATTTAAATTCTAAATTCAAATTCAAATTTCAAATTCAAATTCAAATTTCAAATTCTAAATTCAAATTTCAAATTCATAATTCGAATTTCCAAATTCAAATTCAAAATTAAAATTTCAAATTTCAAATTCAAAATTCAAAATTCAAAATTCAAAATTCAAATTTCAAATTTGAAATTCAAAATTCAAATATTTGATAATTAATTTAACTAATTAAATTAATTATTAATGTCTTGGACTATCCAAGCCCATTAACAATACCATGCGCCCTCTCCCTCTTAGGTGGGCTTCCAAACTTCATCTTGGGCTAACAACCATTATTAGGCCCAATACCTTTAATGCTATATCATCATGGCATTAAGGGGTTAGTGTGTGACCCATTAGGTCCAACATAGCCACTGACATAAATGGGCTTGGGCCCAACAAGCCCACAACCCATCTAATGACAACACAGAGAACTAGCAATGCTTTGTTGCCCCAGAGCTAGTTAGATTAATGACTTGATCATCCTATTACACATATTTGGTTACCGTATATATTTTCTTTCGTCTCGGTTACCTTCCCATTAAACCTAGGGTAAGGAAACGTACCAACTCTTGCGGTTTAGGGTAAGCTTTATTTGAAATAGGGAACCTTCAATTTACTGACTCTAAAGGAAGATCATCTCATGATCTCTTTTACTATGCATAGATTCCCGAGTCCTTGTAAATGTGATCCCGATTTCTTCGGTTTACAGATAACCTAATCTCTCACAGAGATTTGACGAATTCCTTCAGCTTATCACCCTAGCCCTGTGCTCTTTCAGGACAAGCCCAACAGTGTACCTATGAGTCTCCATGTTTTAGGCAGACGAGGTATACAATCAAAACATGCCTTCTAGAACACAGTCTAGGTAATAACTTCTGGTCTAAGAAAAGACATACCCAAATATAAAGAGATGACTCTAATGATACTCTCTGTGAGATTTCCTCATAGAGTCTCTTTGTGGGTCTGTTTAGTGCGAGCTATACCCTTATAGGTCCACCCATGACTTTAGCTAAGACATCTCCACATCTGTAGCTCATGAGGTATTTACCTTACATCCGAATACAAGTAGATAAGTCGTGCTAGTCTTACCCGAGATCACTGATCTCCATTCTCAGTGTCTCTAGACTAGGAACATAAAATTAGGAATAAACATCCAGTATCCTTGAATCCTCATGATTGTGATCTCATCACAGATACTCAAGAGATACCTATTTTATTCCAAGGGGTTTATCCAGTTACTCATAAAATATTAACCACAATATTGAGACAAAATATGAAACACGATAAAGAGTGCTTTTATTTATTTGCGACAATATAAAAGGTCCACATATGTCCTAATCTAATCAAAAGATTGTCTCTAGGACATCCATATACTAACAAGCTCTCACTTGGCCTAGAGCCAATCTGACCTAAGTCGTATACCTAAAGCCTCACAATGACTATCATGTTTTCTCTGAGAAACAGCATTTGTCAGAGAATCGGCTAGGTTATCATCTGTGGGAGCATAATCCATCTTTACATCCATCCTATCAATGATTACTCTAATCAGGTGATATCTGCGGAGCACGTGTTTAGATCTTTGATGAGACCTAGGTTCCTTTGACTGCACAATGGCTCCAGTGCTTTCGTAAAGCTACTGTATAGGCTCATCTACGCTTGGAACCACCCTTAGTTCATATCTGAACTTCTTGATCCACACGACCTCCTTAGCCGCTTCTGAAGCAGCTATGTATTCAGCTTCTGTCGTTGAATCTGCTGTTGTCTCCTG